CCGTTGCCGTGGTTGCGAAGCGTAGCCAGGATCTGCCGCACGTCGATGACGTGGTAGCGCTTGGCCGCCTGCAGCTTGCGGCACTGCTGCGCGCAGTGGCCGCGGAAGTTGCAGAACGCGCAAGTCACGCGCTCTGCAGGTGGACAGCATGGTCCACCGCTCGTGTCGGAGGGCGACGTGCCAGCGTGCATCGGCGATGCAGCGAAGGAGCCGGGGCTTGGCCCGCCGATGGCGAGCACGGGCGTGCGCTTCTTGGGACGATGCAGGCGGCGCTCCTCCTGGATGAGGTCCGCCGTCATCTTGGACAGCGATGGCGGCGGGTCCTCGCGCTCCATGAACCGCATCGCCACATCAAACTCTGCGGGGAGTTCGTTGCGGACGAGGGTGCGCAGGTCGTCCTCCGGGATGGACACGCCGGCAGCAAGGAGCTGCGAGTTGATGTCCGTAATGCGGGACATGAACGTGTCGACGGTGTCCGTGGGCAACCAGGTGGTCGAGGAGAGCTGCTGACTGAGACGACTGACGTGGTCCTTGCCGCTGCGGATGTAGCGCTCGCGGAGGCGGCGCAGCGCAAGCACACCGGAGCGGCCACGGTTGTCGGTGATGGCCAGCCGCAGCGGGTGTCCCGTCAGGACGCCAAGGAGGAACGCGAAGATGGCTGCGTCAACCTGTGGATCACGGGGATCCAGCAGGCCAGAGGCTCGGGACGCCACCTGCGCTCCTCCGCTCGGAGTGGCGGAAGAAGGGAGAGAGGAAGAGGAGGAAGATGGGTGAGCGCCATGGTCGTCGCCATCGCCCTCGTCATCGTCGTCATCATGGTCCGCCACGTCGTGGCGGGCGCCAGTGCGGCGCGGGCCGCGTTGAGCGCGGGAGCGAGTGCGGGGACCCGAAGCACCGTGGGTGCTTGGGCTCGGCAATGAGGCAGCTGCTGGTGTGACATGTCGAACGCAAGACAAGCAGAGGATGTGCGTGTGTTTGTGTGTGCGTGCGTTAGCGTAGTGGTATGCTCACTTGTCTGCGTGTGTTTGTGTGGGTTTACTGTGTGATGTGGAAGACAG